AACACCTCCACCTTCCCTAAGAGCGGCAAATCCTGGGTGTCCGCTTACGGCCCGACGAAAGTGGCTACGAGCAGCCTCATTGAACCAAACTTTCTTGCCAAAGGGCTCCGTAATCTTGCGCAAACGGTTGCCGAAGACGGGTTCGTGCAAGCCGTTCATGCTTTCCAAGACATAAGTGCCCAGATCGCCCTTTTGGATGATTTTGTATGGGCCAAACCATCCGCCTTCCAAACCCTGTCTTGCCTCATTCCTTTTCATGACGTAGTCGCCTACGTCAAACAAATTGGCATTCTTGCCGTACTTCGAATTAAAGCGCCGAACTTCCTGTTCCACGATCTTGCGCATGTTTGCGCCGGCCACAGTTCGCCAGTGTCTTTGCAAAGACACTCTTTTGGCTGTCGATTCCACCATCGCATGCCATGGCAAGGCGACGAAGTGGTCTACATTGACGGGTGGGCGCATGCTGAACACCACCTTGTAAGGGCTTACACCCATCGTCGAATGCGTCCGCCACCTGCCTGCCGTCAGGGCCATCGGAATCAGTTCGTCCCATCGGTCACAAGGGACCCCTCGTTCGAACATTAACGTTTTGAGCATCCTCTTCATTTGACCATTGAACGCTTCGGTCTTACCGTTCGTTTGCGGGTGGTAAGCCGTTGCGATTCGGTGCCTGGTGTCACTTTGGAGGAACAGTTCCGTGACTATGTCGGCTAAGAATGCTTTACCATTGTCACTAAAAATCTCTTTGGGCGGACCAAAGACGGGGTAGATCTCTTCGAGCAGGAAACGAAGTACGTGTTCGCTACTTGCGTCGGGAACTGCTCGTGCAATAGGCCACAAAGTCGCGTAATCTACTGCGCAGATTAAGTACCTGTTTCCATTAATTGACTTGTCGAAGGGACCTACGTGGTCAATTCCCCATCGGTAAAATGGTCTGAGAGTTTCGCTGGCAATGACGTGCTTGTGTTCGTTGATGGTGTTTGGTGCCGTAGACTTGTGCACCTGGCAAGTGGGGCATGCTTTGGTGAACGCTTCCAAGTCCGCAAGTTGACGCAGCCACCAGTAACGGCTGACGAACATATCCTTCAGGCATCTCCATCCTGAATGAGCCCCCTCTCTGTGGACTTCCCACAGCGCCGTAGGCCTGTCCTTTGGCTCCACATACAGCGCAAAGAGATCGTCCTCTGCTGCTGAACCCGCGACTTGGTGGTACAACTTACCGTCGCGGGGGTTGTACCGCCACTGCAAAACCTCGGACGCAATGGTCTGCATCGGTTCCGTGGCGTTACTTAGGAACCATCGACGTAACTCGCTGAGAGTCGAAGGTACCTCATTCAGACTGTTGACCCAGTCTGCTCTTCTCGAAATCGCATCAGTGGCGGCATTCTCCTCGCCGGGACGGTACTTGATATCGAGATCTACTTCTCCGAACTCGTCTAACCAGCGCGCTAGTCGCTTCGAAGCCACCTTTGTGCGGGGAATGGTCTCTAGGTTGTGGTGATCAGTCAGAATCGTTGTTTGATGACCATTATCCACATAATGCTTCCACGCGTTCAGCGCGTACTTGATGGCCAACAACTCTTGCTCGGACACGCTGTAGTTGAGTTCGGCAGGCTTCATCTTTCGCCCATCATAGGCTACGGGGTGCCTTTTCCCGTCCGTAGTCTCCTGGCTTAAGACTGCGCCAATTGCGTATTGTGAGGCGTCCGTTTCAACAAAGAATGGTTTCTCTGTATTTGGCTGCGCAAGCGCCGGAGCCGCGCACAATCGCATTTTCAGATGATCGAAGGCATCTTGGTGACGTTGTTCCCACACAACCTCACGCCTTCGTTCAGCTTTTGCTGAAGGCGGTGAGCCCTTCAGTAAGTCGTGTAAAGGTGCGCAGATCTTTGCAAACCCTTCCACAAAGCGTTGGTAATAAGTGGCGAGCCTGACAAAGCTCCTGACATCGTGGGCCGTTTTTGGTGTCGGCCACTCCCTTACCACCTTCAATTTGTTGTTGAGGGAACGTACTTTCCCGTCGCTAACCAAGTGTCCACAGAAGTTGATCTCCTTCACATTGAAGGCACATTTCGAAGGCTTGGCATACAACTTAGCCTCCTTCAATGCCTCCAGAACCAGTTGTATGTGCTCTCAATGCTCTTCAACGCTGTTCGAAAAGATGAGGATGTCGTCTAGGTACACAATAACAAACTTGCCGATGTACTTGTTAAGAACGCGATTGACGATCGCTTGGAAC